ACCCTCCCTTTCATGCTGTGGGCATGATCACGTGCTCAAGTGGCTGTTTGGTTAACTTCACAGTAGCTTGTACTAATACTTTTTGCTACATGAAATATAAGTCACAATAGATAGTATCATGATATTGGTTTTCTCTTTATACTTATTTGTTATTTTTAGACTTACGAGCTTTCTACTTAGGTATAAAACATTGAGAGCTCCCAGAGCTTGACATTGATGAAGGAAATTTTGTCGCAGCTGCTTATTAAAAAGTGATATCTAACATGCCCACTGACAGCACTCCAAACTTAAAGGTAGCTGCCTTGGTTATATAAAGCTCCTGAGATTCAGTCAGCCAATTCCTTTTTCTTGCTATACAGGTAGTCCTCGACTTATGATCACAATTGAGACCAGAATTTTTGTTCCTAAGCAAAGTAGTTGTTTAATGAGTCACACTTGATTTGATGACCCTTTTTGCCATGATCGTTAAGTGAATCACTGCAGTTGTGTGAATCCAGCTTCCCCCATTGATTTTGCTTGTTGGAGGTCAGCTGGAAAGGTCACAAATGATGATCACATGACCTCGGAATGCAGCAATTGTTTTAAATATGTGCCTGTTGCCATACATCCACATTTTGATTATATGACCATGGAGGTGGATGTAAGTGTGAGGACTGGTTATAACTCGCTTTTTTTCGGTGCCATTGTGTGTTTGAAAGGTTGCTAAATGTATGGTTGTAAGTCAAGGACTACCTGTATATTAGAAAGGGTTAGGTAGGGAAGCTTTTGCTGTTCCTTCAGCAAAGGTATGTTGTTTTCATTTTGTGTTTCAGAACTTAGAACTGTTTTTCTTAAAACAAATCCAGAAAAATATATTTTTCTTTACAGCATGGAAACATTCACTATTTGTTTCCTAGTAATCAATTTAAGTGTGAAATTTTAAAATAACTTCTAATAAGCAAAATCATTGACTGGTTTGTCTGACAGCTTTGGTCTTTACAGTAAGTGTAGTTGAAATTTTTTTTGGGTTGCAAGAAGCTTACAAAATGCTTTTATTTCTCTAATCTACCTGGATTGCACCCATGGACATCCTGAATGACCATGTTGTAGCCTGGTATATTAACTCCTAGACATCTTTCTTTTTTACTTAAATCATTACCAAGAAAACAACTTTTAGTATCTCTTTATAGCACTAGTTACAGAAATTCTTTACTGGTGTGTCAAATTGATCTGACCACTAGCCAAGGCATGACTTAAGTGATATGTTTAATGTCTTTTTGTCTTCTGTAGAAACATTATCTGTCATTAAGGGTATTTCAGTGTTATACAGTCAACTTTAAAATGGGTATACTTTCTACAAATACATTCCTTAATTTAGTTTTTCAGCTGATCGCATATTCTAAGAAACTTTCGGGACAGCATCTTAATTTCCTTTATTTTAAAATTTGAATAATACCTGTAATTAAAGCAGAGAACTGATCCTTACAAGCCTAGGTAGCCTTCCATCTATTGATCTGGCTTATACTGTCAGGGGAGAAACAGTCAACTGCTGTGTTGCTTTGTCACTGACATAAGCTGAGAGGATTTTTTTTTCTCCTATACTGTTTATACACCAGTGTATAGACTTGCTGGCTGGCTGAATTTTAAAGAGTGCAGAGGTTTAAAGACTTGTCCCCTGAGGGATGATCCTGCCAGTTGGGAAGCGAGCTGAGGCCATATTTTGCAGAAGTGTGTGTGTGTGTGTGTTTGTGTGCGCGCGCACACACACATGTGGATGGGGGAAGGATGGAAAGGAAAGTATTGAGTTTGTTTGCCCCTACAGTGTTGCAGAAAGGGCTGATATATCTATTACAGTGAAATACAATAATATCTGTTTTTCCTCTTTTCTATACGTTCTCATTTTATGGAAGACCAGAAAATGTAACACAGGTGTTACAAATGTCTGCAAATACAATTCCTTAGAGATAGAATCTTATGTGCTTACTAATCAATATTGTTTGTGGTGGTTTGTTAAAGGCAAACTTGTATTTTTATTACTGTGAAGATCTAGAGTCTAAAATACTAATATTGTTGCTAGAAGGGGGGGAAACACAGAATTTCTCTACTATAATAAACTTAATAAGATGAGTAGCTTTTAAATATTATATTTAATACTTTGCCATTTTTTATGAGTAGCATTAATTTACTATCTCTAAGTAAATTGTGAGTCTTTATGTTTAACATACCAATCTGATTTTAGTGATGATTCATAAAATAGAGTGACAATCTTTCCTGAAAATATAGCATATTGGAAGGCCCAAATAAAATTCTAGGATTGCTTCCCTGAGACTAGCACCTAATAAATCAGTAGTCAGGCTTTTGAGCATGCACTTTCTTCCACTTCCTTTTCTTTCTACAATGATTTTACCCTTTCACTTTGAAGTTATGTTACATTTGTACAGTACAAGCTTTGCATCTGGTTTAGAGCCTAAAACCTAAGTTGGAAGATTAACTAAATTTAACTATGAAAGAATATGCTCACACAGATGTAATATGAAATTATAGCCATATAACATTAGTGAAAATTAAATTTTCCCAGGAATAACTGATTATGCCAATTAATTTAATATATCTGAAATCCAATAATGAGAAATGTATATTTTGCCTGATGTTCTTAATCAGATCTTAAGAACTAAGGACATAAGACATATGATAAAAAGTAGAGAAGGGAACTAGGGGATTAGCCATTTTGGATCTAATTCTCACTAACAGAGATGAAATGATAGAAGGTGTTGAAGCCATAGGAACCTTGGGAGGAAGTGATCATCCAATATTGGAATTCAACATTATGGAAGCACAAGCAATAGAACACAGTTGGAATACTGCATCCAGTTTTGGTCACCACGATGTAAAAAAGATGTTGAGACTCTAGAAAGAGAAGAGCAAGAAAGATGATTAGGGGACTGGAGGCTAAAGCATACAAGGAACGGCTGCTGGAATTGGGTATGTCTAGTTTAACGAAGAGAAGGAGTACAGGTGACATGATAGCAGTGTTCCAGTATCTCAGGGGCTGCCACAAAGAAGAGGGAGTCAAGCTATTTTTCAAAGCGCCTGAAGGCTGGACAAGAAGTAACGGATGGAAACTAATCAAGGAGAGAAGCAACCTAGAACTTCCTGACAGTTAGAACAATTAACCAGTGGAACAACCTGCCTCCAGAAGTGGTGAATGCTCCAACAATGGAAGTTTTTAAAAAGAGATTGGACAGCCATTTATCTGAAATGGTATAGGGTTTCCTGCCTGAGCAGGGGGTTGGACTAGATGACCTCCAAGGTGCCTTCCAACTTTATTATTATTATTATTATTTATTATTATTATTATTATTATTATTATTATTATTATTGTTGTTGTTGTTGTTGTTGTTGTTGTTGTTATTATATGCTTGTAGGTGATTTCCCCCCCAGGTATATTAGTTCTCATAATACATGGGATGCATATTACCAAGTTCTCCTACCATCTTGTCTTTTATTGAAGTTGGAAAATACTTGACTAGGATCTGTAATTAAGGTGCATCCAGTAAGAAAACAATGATTTGTGAAACATTTTTGCCACGCTATCTGAATCTGTGTTTCTCTAATGTAACTAGCCAATTTCTTCCAAATTTCTCCTATCCCCTCCTTTCGTGAAGTACTAATTTTATACTAGTAACTGAAAGAAAATACAGGCATTCTTCTTTTCTTGTATGTTTTTTCTCCCCAAGTGATCTGTTCAGTTTTTTCCTTCTTGTAAGGGTCGAAGCTGGCAAGGTAGAATCTCTGATTCTCCTGCTTGAAGAAGCTGTTTTGTTAACAAGACAAAACAGATGTGAAGAAACTTCAAGGTGGGAAAGGAGCAACTAACAGCCATTGATTCAGAAGGTGGGAGGAAGGGGGCCAGCATTTAAACCTGACAAATAAATTTTACATGGAGGGCAGGATGCTGGAGTACTGTTAGAGATGGACCAATTCTTCCTTATATATAGTCTTCTAATTATTGCAGTAAATTTACTTCTTGTGTCTGCGTGGAAATGCAGAGATAGCATAGCTGCCATATCCGATATGAAGTCCTGTCAGACCTCTCTGTTAAAGCTTAGATTGTACATGTTCAAGCAGGAACTTTTCTTCATTATAACATTAATATTTTCAGTGCATTTTACCTTAATGTCACTAGAAAACTATTTAATTCTGTGTGAATTTTAGTACAACATAGCTGAAAATAAGGGAAAGGTGGCAATCCTATTTCTTATTTTGTCATAGTGGCATTGAACACTTGCTAGTTATAACTGCTTCTTTTATTCCAATATTTTTCTTCACTTTATAACAATTTTCAAACCAGTATATGCCATTCATGTAATTAGAAATGTGTCACTGAGCAGCATGTCAAACCCAACAGGAAGAAATAGGTGTATCATTTCTATAAAACTACAGGTATTTTCTTTTTCTTTTCTTTTTAATTGGCAGGAAATTTTGAACCTTGTTGTTATTGTAAAGGGTTAACCCTGTCCAATTTTCTGCATATAACAAATGAAAAGTTCCAGCTTTTAAAAACATTTGCTCATAAAATGCATATGCTGTCAACTTAGTTCTCTTTCCTCTGCTTGCATTTTAATTGAAACAACATTTGTATTTTTGAGCCAGGATCTGTCAGAAGTCCCTATGGCTAGTCTGTAGTACAAGTAGCAGCAGACGTGGCTTACCCATATGGTACGGTGCTTCTTGTAAAATCCATATGGCCTTGTTGAAGGGAATCCCAGCAGGGATGTGAAGGGTGTTAATACCCTTCAGGCCAGGCCTTTCCCTCCTGGGGTTTCTATGGTATTGTCTTTGCAATCTGCCAAAGCACAAACTTAATTCCTTTTTAATAATCAATTATTTTAATCCAGGAACATGCAGCATAGTTTCCTCCTCCTATCAAATATTGCTTGATTTTTGTGTGGGGAAAAAAATTACAGGCATATTCAGGTAATTGTTAAATACATATAACATTTTTTTTTCTGCTTTTTCAGGCAATCCTCCAGAGTATACCTAAATTCTGCTTTCCTTTTGACATTACAAGGTATGTCTTATCATGGCTTTTCAATAAGTGAGGTTGGTGCACTGAAAACAATTTGCACTGCAAAATATTGATTTTCATAGGAAAGTAGTGAATGGATTGAATCGCTGTATTAAAAAAGAACTAAAGTGTTTTCTGAATTTAAATTTTAGTTCGTATCTTTGGTAGTAGGCAGTATGATCTTAGTATGCTTTTAGGCTTTTAATAGATAACCATAAATCTTTAGCATGCATTTCTTATTAATATAAAGTTGATAAGACATTGTTTATAACTGTACATTTACTTCCTTCCAGCCCTCAAAACAAGTATACATAAGAAGTTCCGATTGAAATATCTCTTAAAGATTGTACAAATGTGTTTTGAGGATTGTACTTTAAATTTAAAATGGACTTATCGTGTGTTGTATATGTAGGTCTGCAATATTTATTCACATTTAATGCTTTGGTAGAGCAAGCATGTGTTTCAGCTTATTAAGCAGTAGATTTTAAACGAAAATCATTCATGATTTTTAATACTTTTTTTAAAAAAAAGTGTGGATGACAGATGCCATTACAAGAGGCATTGCTCCTCATTCTGTCATAGGAGGAATGCTTCTTCTGACAATGGCTGTTATGATACCAGCTTAGCAGAATTATTGTTCCATGTGGAACTTCTATGCAGGCTTAATGAAACGCTTAATTATAAGTTAGCTGATTAGTCATTGGAGATTTCTTTAACCAGTAGAATTCAATGGACAGAATTCTTTACAATTTTTAAATCCAGTTGGAGGGCACATGTCAGGAAGAACAACTAAAAAAATTCCAAGCACACCTACTGAACGTCACGGTCAGACAAAGATTTGACTCTGAAAATTTGTCATATACAAAACATTCTGTCAACTGTAGGACCTTGTTCTATTCCATATAATTGAATTTAATTATGGATATTTTCCCTGCATAAGATTTTTTCATAACTCAAGAAACATTTGGGGGCATTGTTTAAAATGATTCGAGTTAGCCAGTTGTTGTTATGAATTACTTGTTCTTTGTTATCTTCCAAACACTAATTGTTCTGTGTCTTTAATACAGTATTTTGAAATGAGTGCAAGTTGAAAACCCAAATAAGCAAGTGTAATTAAAATTAACTAGGAATTGATATGGGCTTTTAAATCTATTGAAAATTAAACTAGCAAGTATCATTATATTAAGGTTGGTACATGAACAATTGGGAAATGAGAGAAAGAAGGGAAAAGATAATTTGGTCTAGAAAACAGGAGATTGTGAGTTCAAGTCCCACTTTAGCCATAAAAGCCATGGGTGACATTGGGCCAGGCAAAAAATTTTTTGGCAACTCACCCCACAGAGTTGTTGTTGTGGGGAAATAGGAGGGGAAAGGTGTGTTGGATATGTTTGCTGCCTATTTGTAAAAATAATAAAGGCAGGAAACAAACACACAAACAATCACAGAACTCCATCATACCAGTGCTGAGAAAATGAATAAAACAAACCGAGAACAATGAGACTGTAATTTCAAAATCAGTCTTTTTCTAACTCTATAAAGTAAGTTTCATCACCTCAGAACTATCCTAATGGGAAAATATAGTAGATTTAAAACTTTTTAAATAGATGTGTTTGAGCATGAAGCCTGCCAGTGTTTCTTCTAACAGAAGTATTATTTGTTTTTCATTATATACACACTGGATCTCTTTGTTGTTTTTGCTGAAAGAGTTGCTCGTTTAGTGTTTATCCGAAAATTGGAAATGTTCCCTGTTCTTCAGATCTGCACATATGTGTTATGCAGTCTATCTTACCCAATGAGTTTAGAGGAGCTACTTAAAAGTTGAAAAGAAAGTAAAAATGCATATAACTTAATATAGTTAAGATAGTGTTCTTGGTAAAGCATTAAAACCTACATGTTATTAAATTTATAACTATGAATGAAGAAAAGTAGGAACAGTGAAGAAGTTAAGGCTTTCTTAGTGCCATCCAATGGCTAGGAATTAATGAAATATCAGTGCAATTACTTGAATTGATAGAGTAAGATAATCCAATTGTAGATATTTGTATGAGGATAAATGCAAAACAAGATTTTTAAAGAAATCTGGAAAGTATATTGGCAAGTACAGGCATTATCTGTGTTAATCAACCACATTGTTCTTTGAACACTAAAAATTAGTAACTATACTATAAAACAGTTGGTCCAGGATGTTTTCAATTATACACTATGCATATATTATGAATAAAATGGCAATAC